ATCGACGGGATCATCATTCGCTAATTGTAATTGGCGCAGTACTAATGCGTCATAACTAGACTATCACTAACAACGTATGTGATGTCAAATTCATTTAAAAGCATATATAATTCTTCAATTGAGGTTGACCACTTATTAGGAACTAATGAAGTAATCAGGATGTTTTTAACCAATTTTTTAAATTTGTAAAGAAAATTCAATTGATTATATAATTTCGATAAGAGTGATCTTTTCATTATATGATGCTCTTTTGATTTATATGAGGGAATTGAAAAATCTGCTGCTTTGATAATGCATTCTTGTAATAGATTCCAAAAATGATTCACCTTGTTTTAGTTAAAAATGATGTTATTAATAAGATATCGTATGTAATAACTCTTAGCCAAAACGTCAACTTTGCTACTGAATGCTGCCTATTTATCTTCAAATATCTTATCATACTCATAGATCTTTTTTAATAGAGTGTTTCTTTTACTATTCTTGATGTCCAAAAAGTTTTCAATAGTGAAGATAATTGAATAGTCAGAAAGTACAGAGGTAATGTCAATAATATCACACTTTATAAGATTTGAAATAACTGACTGATGATCAAATATAGTCTATTCATGAGGTTGAAAATAGGCTTTAATGAGTAGGATAGTTTCTTCAATATTGATCATATTTAAGTAAAACTGAAACTGCAGAGTTATTTTATTAAGTTTAATAATAAAAATTCACCTGTTACTAAACTTACTTTATAAAAGTTAACTTTGAAATTTTTTAGTGCAATTACTAATAATTTTTTTAATTAAAACTTTAGAATAACGTTATTTTAATATATCATTGTAAAAATTAAAAAAATTTTATATTCGATTTGATTTGATTGATTTGATTTGATTTGATTTGATAAATATTAATTCAATTTGATTCAATTCGATCAAATTCAAATTGATTTAAATTGATTTAATCAAATATTTAAGTTCAATTTGATTTGATTTGCTTTAATTTGAAAAAATCAAATCAAATTCAAATTGCTTAAATATTTGATTTGATTTGATTTTGAGAAATCCTAGTAATAGTGAATTAGAACTAATAGCGGGATTATATCCAAATTTGAAGTATTTCAATTTATGCAATGATCAATCAGATGATTATATGAGCTTTCATGCTCGAGAAGTAGATGATCTAGGTCTATGAAAAATTACACAGTCATACCATAAATTAGAATATCTAAATATTTTTCATCATATTGAGTTTACTGAAATATCAATTTGTAATATTATTCATTCTTGTCTAAACTTCCAGCATCTCAATCTTACCTTTTTGTGAAATTACTGATATAACTATCGAAGAAATTGCTAGATCATATCTTAATTTAAAATACCTTAATCTGAAGAAATATTATAATATTAGCAAGAAAGCTGTAGTTCGGCTTAATTCTGATATCCATATTAAAAATTTCAATGATCTAAAAAACCCTAGTCTTATTATTGCATTCAGTGATTATCTTAGACAGGCTGATACTTTTCATCAGAATTTGGCCTAGTCTATTTTAGCTAGTATTTCTGATAGGACCTAAACTGAGATAGACCAAATTTTATATCAGAATTTAATGCAGACTTTAGATCATATTAACAGGCATTCTCTGAACATATTACCCTGATAAATACCAGTTTAAAGCAGTAAATGTTCACCTTCTCAATGAAGAATTTCAGGATAATAAATCAAACATACTTTTATTTTTCTGATCTGAATCAACAAATAGATATTTTATATATTTTTTTTCAAATAAAAATTCAGCATATATTATTTATAACGCATACAAGTATTTTAATATAGCAGAAGTAATAGAACAAATTTTATATTTCTTAGTGTTAAATAGTGTTCTGCACAGATCAGATTGGATCAGATTTGGGCAAAATCTGATTCGATCCAAATCTGAAAAATCCAAATCTGATTCGATCTGAATTTGACAAATTTGAATCCGATTCGATCTGAATCTGACAAATCTGAATCCATATCCATATCCAACAGATCAAAAAAATTTTTTTTAACAAAAATCTGTCTCTGTCGTTCAGAACAGCGTTTTAATATTAAAAAATCTGCCTATGACATTCAGAACGGCATTTTAATGTTAAAAAACAACAAAATTGTTGTTTTTTTAACAAAAATCCGCCTATAACGCTCGGAACGGCATTTTAATGTTAAAAAAACAACAAAATTGTTGGTTTTTAACAAAAATCTACCTACGACGTTTGGAACGGCATTTTAATGTTAAAAAAACAACAAAATTGTTGTTTTTTAACAAAAATCTGCCTATGACGTTTGGAACGGCATTTTAATGTTAAAAAAATAACAAAATTGTTTTTTTTAACAAAAATTTGCCTCTAACGTTCAGAATGGTGTTTAATGTTAAAAAAACAACAATTTTGTTGTTTTTTAACAAAAATCTGCCTCCAATGTTCAGATCAGCATTTTTTATATAAAAAATTAATAAAAATTGATTTTTTATTAATAAATGTCACGTCTGACTTTTAGGGCGGTATTTTAATATAAAAAATTAATAAAAATTAAATTTTTTATTAATAAATGCTGCATCCATCTTTCAGGGCGGCATTTTTATATAAAAATTAATAAAATTAATTTTTTTATTAATAAATACCGCGTCTGACTTTCAGGGCGGCATTTTTATATAAAAAATTAATAAAAATTGATATTTTATTAATAAATGCTGCGTCTGATTTTTGGGGTGGCATTTTTATATAAAAAATTAACAAAAATTAAATTTTTTATTAATAAATATCACATTCGTCTTTCGGATCCGTCTTTCAGGGTGGTATTTTTATATAAATAATTAATAAAAATTAATTTTTTTATTAATAAATGCTACATTCGACTTTCAGGGTAGCATTTTATTATTGAAATTTAATTTTTTTAATAATTAATATCACGTCCGACTTTTGGGGCGGCATTTTAATATATAAAATTAATAAAAATTAATTTTTTTATTAATAAATGCCGCATCTAACTTTTGGGACGGCATTTTATTATTAAACATTAATTTTTTTAATAATAAATGCTGCCTCTGACTTTCGGAACGGCATTTTATTATTAAATATTAATTTTTTAATAATAAATATTGCCTCTGACTTTCGGGACGGCATTTTATTATTAAACATTAATTTTTTAATAATAAATGCTGCCTCTGACTTTCGGGATGGCATTTTGTTATTAAAAATTAATTTTTATTTTTTATTAATAAATGTCACTCCTGACTTTCGGGATGGCATTTTGT